TACGTCTGAGGGTTTCCCGCCATGTTATTTTGGTCTCGAATGGACGCGAGAATCCGCGTGACACCTAAACGTCATTGGAAACGGATGCACTTGTCGACCGCAAAGAAAGGCATCGAAAGCCCAAGTGACAAGCACAGATTTTAGTTTTACTACAATAACAGTCGTTTTAGTGGGAAAATGCAATAGAATATATTTCCAGGCGTTGTTTACAATGTATTTCTTGCGGAATTTTGAATCTCAAAGGAAGAGTTATTATTGCTTTAAATATATTCTTTAAATAACAAGGACAAAGATAGATAACGTGAAGAATTTTATGATTGAATACATTATAATAATTATGATAAAATATACTTTATTTTGAATATAAAAATGACAGTCTTTAATGATAATTAAATGAAAAAAGGACTTTTGTTTGCCAAAAGATTGATTTTTAAATTCCTGGGATTAATCAATTCTCAGCACACAACCTATGTTCCCCGTTAGGTTAAATACATTTTACGTTAACATATACTAGAAATAATAATATTAATTATTGAAAATTAAATGGAAGTGGAGGTATTTTATTTGCAAGAAGATCCATTTATAAATTTCCGGGATAAAGTTATCTCCAGCGCACAACCTACCTAACCAGTATTCCCCGTTCAAGTTACCAAAGCCGTGTTTGTAATCCTGCCAGCCACGGTAGAAGTCTACTGAGCCGTCCATACGCTTCTGNAAACCGACAGGACGAACTTTCATCTCCGTTGTCTTCAGGGAGTGTTTGTACCCTCTAAATGCATACCAGTTTACACCGTCAGCATGGGAGCTGTGATCACCCAGGTGGTACAGGCCGTTCAGATTGGACGAATGGCAGTCCTCGTACCACCAAGCTCCCTTGAATTGCTGGGCGCAGTGTCTGTTTTTATCTGCATCGTTATCCCTGTCCTTTGTGGAGAAGGCCATACCATTATGACCGGATAATGAATCGCCTAGAATGATTTAAAGATAGTAATAAGAATTAATCAATCCACTTTTGAAGTAAAAACCTTTTTTTGGATCGGTTTAACATTTTTTTGTCTTAAGATTTATGATTTTCTTATAATTGTGGTACGTATTTAAGGGAAGATAACATTATTTTTTCCTTTTATTCAATCTCAAAAAATAGACACTGGTATCCCGAATTAAATTAAGCTTGTGATAATTTGACAAAATTCCCAAAAACTTGAAAATCATCAAGTATAAACAGAGCACCAACAAACAAACCTGCGTCCCCAGAATATGCCCTAATTGTTAACTGATAAACAAACCTGCGTCCCCAGAATATGCTTCGAGTTTTATCTGATAACCAAACCTGCGTTTCCAGAATATGACCTGATTGTCAACTGATAAACAAATCTGCGTTCCTAGAATATGCATCAAGTGTTAACTAATAAACAAACCTGCGTTTCCAGAATATGCACCAAGTGTTAACTGATAGTTAGTCCGTTCGGAGGAGACAGCAAAGTTATCATAACGAGCATAAACGTTCACCCCTGTGGCGTCTTCTAAGTCAACACGGAGTTCATAGTGCCCCTGGTGAGTTAGGAGATTTATTTGGTCGTTTCCTTGGAAAAAATGAGCTTATAAATATAAATTAACTGTATATAAGTCCATTAAAGTCATAATAACTCTTCGTTTTGGCCAAAAATACGATTTTCCTGGAAAAAACGGTAATTTTCCCGTACTTACCAATGGTCAACGACCCCATTCCTGCATTCAAAGTTAATCCAGGGTTTTTTTTCCTAAACGTACGGTTTTTTGTTAAAATCTCTTAAGAGATTTTAACCGACGGAGCCCTCTCGTATCGAGCGATAGTTTCTGGTGACCTACTTAAAACCGCGGGAAAAGCAGACAACAACAACACTATTATAACAATATTATAAGATTTTATAAGATATGTTCGTCTTTTTGTCCAAATTCATTTATATCTACAATGTGTGCAATTCTGGGCTTTTCGTTATCCGACGCACTGTACAAAAACTCGCAACTTACGTCTGAGGGTTTCCCGCCATGTTATTTTGGTCTCGAATGGACGCGAGAATCCGCGTGACACCTAAACGTCATTGGAAACGGATGCACTTGTCGACCGCAAAGAAAGGCATCGAAAGCCCAAGTGACAAGCACAGATTTTAGTTTTACTACAATAACAGTCGTTTTAGTGGGAAAATGCAATAGAATATATTTCCAGGCGTTGTTTACAATGTATTTCTTGCGGAATTTTGAATCTCAAAGGAAGAGTTATTATTGCTTTAAATATATTCTTTAAATAACAAGGACAAAGATAGATAACGTGAAGAATTTTATGATTGAATACATTATAATAATTATGATAAAATATACTTTATTTTGAATATAAAAATGACAGTCTTTAATGATAATTAAATGAAAAAAGGACTTTTGTTTGCCAAAAGATTGATTTTTAAATTCCTGGGATTAATCAATTCTCAGCACACAACCTATGTTCCCCGTTAGGTTAAATACATTTTACGTTAACATATACTAGAAATAATAATATTAATTATTGAAAATTAAATGGAAGTGGAGGTATTTTATTTGCAAGAAGATCCATTTATAAATTTCCGGGATAAAGTTATCTCCAGCGCACAACCTACCTAACCAGTATTCCCCGTTCAAGTTACCAAAGCCGTGTTTGTAATCCTGCCAGCCACGGTAGAAGTCTACTGAGCCGTCCATACGCTTCTGGAACACCTACAACTTACAAGACAAACTTACAAGATAAACTGTTACACACAGTATTCGATTTCTTTTTTAGAGCTATTTAAAAGTGGATGATTATGAAAAGATTATGAAAAGATCCATAGAAAAGATCCAGCGGAAAAAAGGACGAGGCACTTTCTTAGACATGTCAAAAAATTGAACACAAAACATGGCGTTAACTGTAGCTTTATTGATATATCATCCCAAAACTAAACTTTCGGCGGTGAAAATATACTCGACATAATTACTCCTCCCCCCCTCCAAAAAAAAAAAAAAAAAAAATTGAATTCAACCACATTGACGACCGGCGGCTGTTGAACCTACCGTCCATCCTCCCCCGTCAGTGGTCATGTCACAGTAGACATCGAAAGGACTTTGGCCGTTAGAGGGCTTAATGGTGTACACTCCGCTTAGTTTTAACCCGTTCTTGTAGAGTTCAGCACAGTCCTTGCCGTCAGCTGAAAATATCAACATCAGAAGATGACCTGTTTTACATAGGTGCCTTATTAGGTGCCTTCTATTGGTCTCAGCAAAAGAGGTGCAAATGCAAAATCAAATTATATCGCTTAATAGGTTAATGAAGGCTATACAAGCTAAAATGAATAAATTAATTAATAGATTATGGAGCTAGCGATAAAGTAATAGGAGTAATTTAATATATCAAAAAATGTATATATAATTTTATCTGCGTGTACCTCCTTGCTTTTCCGAAGTAAATTTTGCCACATTAATTTGCAACTCAGCCGTTGCTTCAACTAGTGTGGTATATTTAACCAGTAAGTCGTCATATTTGCTTTCCAAAGTAACCAGTAAGTCGTCATATTTGTTCTCTAGTGTCTTCAGTTCCTGTTGCTGTGCCTGAACAACATTCTGCAACATGTCCAGCAGCCGGTCAGATACAGCACATTGTTGAGGAGATGTTTCAGTTTTGTTTACCTGGCGACTGATATAATATAATATAATATAATATAATATAATATAATATAATATAATATAATACTAGAAAAGCACCCAGAGAGCGCAGATCTCCGCCAAGGCAGCAGTCTCCATTCAATAATTTTCATTCTATAATGATTTAGTTTTTTGGTTTTTGATTATTGATTATTGATTATTGATTGATTATTGATCCGGATCACCACCAAAAACTAATCATCTGTTCCTTAGCCCACTTCTGACAGTTCCTGAATATTTCATCAAAATCGGTCCATAACTTAGATTTTTTTATTTTCGATTTATTGATTATTGATCCAGATCACCACCAAAAACTAATCACTTCTTAGTTAACCCATTTTTTACATACTCTGAAAATTCCATCGAAATTCATCCACAGCTTTTTGAGTTATGTTGATGACAAACAGACAGACAAACAAACGGGTGAAAACATAACCTCCTTGGCGGAGGTAATAATATAATATAATATAATATAATATAATATAATATAATATAATATAATGCTTGGATGTATTCCAGGTACTCTCTACCAGAGAACAACTGATGGCATCATTTCTAACAGTTCTATCTGAGATTGTCACAGTCCAAAAATATGCATAAAATTAGCAAGATAAATATCTGCTAACATAGAGTGAAAATATTTCTGTGGACATGTACCTGGTGTCATGTACCAGAAAGACCCCCAATGACAGAGAGTCCGCTTTCCATTCATTTATACAGGTGAGCCTTGCTCTAGATTTTGACTCATTCAGGTCAGGCTAGCCCTAACCATTATAACTAAATGGAGGGAGGACTTTCTGTTACACGGACCCTCAGTTTCCCGACACCGGTATGTCTATACCTTTACCTTCTACCAAGGTACCTTACCTTCTACCACCTTCTACCTTCTAACAATCTACAAAGATTGTTTGTTTTTTTAATTTTTTTACAATATATTCACCGCTCATTCATGAAACAACGTTGGTGAATTGTGCACATAATTAATCTGCGGCTCTAATAGAGGGCATCCATCGTTTTATGTGGAAAATTTCTAACAAGCAAGGTGAAAGAAGTGATGTTAACTACGCGGTGTACGTCACAGAAAAACAAATATTCTGCGAAGCCCGATGCATAGAGAAATTTTCTTCTTTTATCAAATCCCGGCTAAACTCACAAAATTACATGCAAAGCACATGCAGAAACAAACGACAAACGCGCAAACAACAACATTGACACACAACGAAATAAAGAACACTCGCAAGCTCACCTGCACGTAATCATAACGTAAAACAAGCGTTCGTATAGGTCAGTTTTTTTTTAAACCGGCGTCTTACCGTTGAATTAAATGTCCTTCTGTTGAAGTCAACAAGCAGAATACAACCAGAGCTATCAGGGCACTTGAAGCTGACATTTTGTAGATCTACTAAAAAGCAACAAAATTTACATCTAAAGAAACCCGTCGACACACGGAAAATAACTCATACTTATAGGCGTGGCTTGGACTTAGCCATTTCAGTATTGTGTAACGATGTAATTTTTTATCAATACAGCTTACTTTACCCTGCCACGGGTATTTTAATAATAATAATAATAATAATAATAATAATAATAATAATAATTACTTCTAGCACATTCCATTTCCTTACATTTCAATGCAATTTACAATCATAAAATATGCGAATTTATATGTGCGAACTATATGTGCCTTTGACATCTTTTCCTACCACGAAAGCAATTTGTACACTTGTTGATTTTTAAAGAAATTTAACCTACACTCGATAACTCCGTATCCTTTTACTCGTTTGATTCCTCTTTAATTATTGCCTGCAATTAGTGTGAGCCATTAATGTTACAAAACTTACATTCATAAATACATACATACACACGCACACACACACGCTTGCTTACCTTTGTAGTCAAAAACTAAACTAAAGATCTTTTTTGCGCAGCTGCTGTAACATAACAGTCAGGGCAGCGTGGCAATGTGAGTCTGAACAGGATCTGGACAACTTTTTACACTAGTGCCACAAGAAAAAAGCACCAGTACTGCCAATATATGTAACTTTATTCATATTGTATCCTGTTTGGTTAGTCTCCAAAAGAAAGATCTGGTAGCTGGCAGTTAGCCAGAAAGTTTTGGAGAAGGTCCGCTTTCTCAGCTAGGTCAGGTGCTCTGCATTTATACCCCATTCCCATAACTAGATCGAACTAACGGGATCGTTCCACCTTCTGAAGCTGTTAGGGGATAATTAACTATATAGCTAAGCAGCTTCAGTGGGAGTGCCAGACATCTAAACCGTTTAAGATGAGTGCAATTTAGTGAGAATCCCCTCGGAGATGGACCGATCAAGCTAGATTGATCTAAGTATGGGTCTTAAACGTTAACTGACGAAGTCTATTATAAACAATGCCTGACACCGAGCCTGAACAGGATCTAGACAACTTTTTACACTTGTATACTAAATATACATTTTGTATCCTGTTTGGTTAGTCTCCAAAAAGGAACCGGTCGCTGTCTGGGTGTCATCTGATACTGTAGCCATGGAAACAACCGATTGGTTGTGAAATGATAAGCCATAACTGGGTCTCTCCACCAAAAATAACCTTCTGATTCATGGCAGAGACGCACATAGTCTATGAAATAAATCCTGGTTTCAATACTTATGTCAAGTGCTATACAGAAAAATAACTGATATTCTTCTCACTTCTGAGTTCATTTTTTCCTATCTAAGGTCATTCATACGAAAAAAGTCAATGTGTTGGATGCGCTTTGGCCTACTTGGTGTGATTATTTCTCTCGGTTACTTATTTTTCTCTAGTCGGACGAAACAAAAGTTCGATTGTACAGAAACCACGTCGGTGCTGCGGAAGTATTCTTTCTATTTTTAATGCGAAATTTATGCTTCAACAAAACGCAATGAACAACTATTCCCGACTGCCACCCTGCATCTGTACTGTTTACGTATTTCAATCATGTTATGTAAACAGATTCAAAATGCATCACTTTTTGTCTTTAACATAGTAACTACTAATAACTCCCTGAGCACATTGAACTGGTTTATTTGACTGCTTGAATGGGTTCCACACGAAAGGTCTGTCGCTGGAACAGATTTCAATGACAGTCTGATGAAGTGAAAAAAGGGCACTCATTTTAAGTGATTTCGTTGAAAAAATATTCTCTCGAGAGATAAAAAACATTACAGTACAAAAACTAATCAAATCACATATTTCTAAAGTATTGAAAAATCGCTTGTCATATGTCCTGTGGTTTTATTTAATTTACACAAGTACGGACGTTATTTTGAACGCAAACATTACTATAATATTTCATCTCCACTTTTCATAGGCGGATATTGAAATAAGGTTTCGCTATTGTAAGAAGCTGGAATTCATCCAATGACAATATTTGCAGATTTGAAACCTACAGGGCGAACTTTCATCTCCGTTGTCTTCAGGGAGTGTTTGTATCCTTTAAATGCATACCAGTTTACACCATCAGCGAATGAGCTGTGATCACCCAGGTGGTACAGGCCGTTCAGATTGGATGCGTGACAACTGTTATACCACCAAGCTCCCTTGAATTCCTGTGCACAATTCTTTTCATATGTATCGTTATCTCTGTCCTTTGTGGAGAACGACGCTCCATTATGGTTGGATAAGGAATCACCTAAAATGAATGATGAAAATATAATTAAAGGGACTATTCAAGCCACTCTTTGTTATCTTTTGCGTTTCGATTTAACTGTTTTTTCATCTGAAGATATATGACTTGAAAGCAACAGAAACAACATATTTCTTATAATTGTGAAATTTAAGGAAAGATAACATTATTTCCCTTTTATTTAACTTAAATAATAGATACAACGTCCCTACTTCAATTAAGCTTAGGCCAATTTGACAAAATTAGTTACAACTATAAAGGATTTTCTAATTACTTGTTATTATACACGTATTTAAGGTAGAAAAATCCCAACATTGTAAAAAAAAAAATAAATAAATAAATAAATAAAACTTGCAAATAATCAAGTGTAAGCTGAGCATCAACACAAAAACCTGCTTCAACAATATGCACCAAGTCTTAACTGATAAACAAACCTGCGTCCCCAGAATATGCACCAAATGTTAACTGATAAACAAACCTGCGTTTCCAGAATATGCACCAAGTGTTAACTAATAAACAAACCTGCGTCCCCAGAATATGCACCAAATGTTAACTGATAAACAAACCTGCGTTTCCAGAATATACACCAAATGTTAACTGATAAACAAACCTGCGTCCCCAGAATATGCACCAAGTGTTAACTGATAATTAGTCCGTTCGGAGGAGACAGCAAAGTTATCATAGCGAGCATAAACTTTCACCCCTGTGGCGTCTTCTAGGTCAACACGGAGTTCATAGTGCCCCTGGTGAGTTAGGAGATTTATTTGGTCGTTTCCTTGGAAAAATGAAGTTATAAATTATAAATACACTGTGTATACCTTCATTAAATACATTGATTAAATAGCAAGAGAACAGATAGATAAATTCATGAAATTTTTGATTAATTACATTTTAATATTTATGATTAACTACAGTTTACTTTAAAATATACCAGTAAATAATAACTGTAACTAGAAAAGCATTCGAAGACCTCCGCCAAGGCAGCGATATTTGTTTATTATCGATTATTGATCCGGATCACCACCAAAACTACTCATCTCTTCCTTGGTCCACCTCTGACAGTTCCTGAAAATTTCATCAAAATCGGTCCAAAAGTTTTTGAGTTATGTTGATGACAAACAAACAGACAAACAGGGGTGAAAACATAACCTCCTTGGCGGAGATAATTGTTTACAATAAAATGAAAGGGAAGTATTTTGTTTGCAAAAAGATTGATTTTTAAATTCCTAGGATTAATTCATTCCCACAACCTACCTAACCAATATTCCCCGTTCAAGTTACCAAAGCCGTGTTTGTAATCCTGCCAGCCACGGTAGAAGTCTACTGAGCCATCCATACGCTTCTGGAACACCTACAACTTACAAGACAAACTTACAAGACAAACTGTACACATAGTATTCGATTTCTTTTTTAGAGCTATTTAAAAGTGGATGGTTATGAAAAGATTATGAAAAGATCCATAGAAAGATCCAAAGGAAAAAAGGAACGGGTCCATTAGGCATCTTCTTAGATACTGTATATGTAAAAAAATGAACACACTATATGTCGTTCACTTAAGCTTTCTTGATATATCAACCAAAAATGTAACTTTCAGGTGTGAAAATATATTCGACACAATCACCCACCTCCCCTAAAAAAATTGAATTCAAGCACATTGACGACCGGCGGCTGTTGAACCTACCGTCCATCCTCCCCCGTCAGTGGTCATGTCACAGTAGACATCGAAAGGACTTTGGCCGCTAGAGGGGGTAATGGTGTACACTCCGCTTAGTTTTAACCCGTTCTTGTAGAGTTCAGCACAGTCCTTGCCGCCAGCTGAAAACATTCACAACAGAATACTATATACCTGAGTGACCTGCTCCCCTGAGCGAGGGGTGGTGTGCCCTTAGTAAACGGTTAAAGTATAGGCCTGTTTATAAAATATATTATCAAATAATATATCCATTTATAAACCAATTGTTAATATTGATATTAAACAAGGGGTGGTGTGCCCTTAGTTAACGGTTAAAGTATAGGCCTCATTATAAAATGTATAAACCAATAATATATCCATTTAGTAACCGGCTGTTAATATTGATATTAAAGAGATAAAAATTGACCGAATTAAATTTTTTAAATTTGCAAACCCCCTTGCTTTTCCGAAGTAAATTTTGCCACATTAATTTGCAACTTTGCTGTCGTGTCAACTAATGTGGTATATTTATCCACCAAATCGTCATATTTGCTTTCCAAAGTTTTCATGTCCTTCTGCAACATGTCCAGCAGCCGGTCAGTTACAGCACATTGCTGAGGAGATGTTCCAACTTGGTTTACCTGGCGACTGATATATAATATAATATAATATAATATAATATAATATAATATAATATAATATACACAGAACCAATTTCTATATTGACTGCTGTTGTCGTTGTATTTCATGTACTTCACATCTTGGAGACAAAATCGCAGTTAAAGTATCCTTGAAGCGACATTGAAACGTGGACGTTCTGCTAGTGATTACATCAAGTGAAAAGCTGACAGTCATGAAGGCGCCGGTGTGGCAGGAGTGCACATCCTAGTAACGCAAGTCCGCCCGGACACTAAGTCCTGGGACTGCAAGTCCTAGGGCATGCATTGCTAGGAATGGAAGTCCTAGGACATACGTTACTAGGATTCAATGTCCGTAGGACGAAGGCTCCCAAGTAATGCAAGTCCTACGTGTAGTAATGTACGTCCTAATGGGGCGTGCGTTCCTAACATTTTAGTAACGCATGTCCTATATAGTTTACACCAAGGAATGACATGAATAGATAGATATAGAGACATACTAGTTTTAAAGATATAATAAACATTTGCTTTTTTCTATTTATATGACATTTTATCTTTATATTTTACAATGTTTTCCGATAGGCAGTTTATATGCATATAAATGAAGAAACAAAAACAATTTATTTGTTTTATGTGTATTTTTCATCTATTAAGCGCAAATTTTGACGTGTTAACGCATATTTTTGGCGTACTCTTCCCTCAGTGCACACTATGTATGAACCTGGCTTGCCCGATATTTTTTTAACAAAATAAGGCATCATCCAAAGGCATCCCTTATTTTCATCCTTTGAGGTATATGTACAGTGTATATTATTTCAAGTCCTTTTCTACTGGGGTGTACCTTTTGTGTTTTGCGTCGAAATTATTATTTTCTCTCCCTCTTTCTCTTTTTTCAAAACCTTATTCCTAAGAGAAAAATCACTTTACACGAAACGCGGGATCTCTGTTCTTAGATTTATTTTTCGGTTTACACTCGCTGAAATTTAAAAAAAAAACCTCAAACTCGATGGAAATTTGCTCTTGGAAAGTATGGGCTGAGATTTAAGACAAATCAAGACAGTTTAGAAATTGAAAATTGCAATATATGTATATAATGTTCTGTAATAACCCTTTGCTATTTTGGTGCTTTGACACTTAAAAGACAAAACAAAAGAGTTGTAAATGTAATGAGCACTGAATTTCAAACACATATTAGAGATTAAAAACACCATTAAACATTTTGCTACAAGTAATAAATAGGGGGAGGGGGGGGGTAAAGTCATGTCAAAGGTAGGTCTCGAACCCATAGATGCAACAGAACGATTCATGAATTCTTACCTTGTACTCTTGCACGTTAACCACTACACACACGAGGTGAAGTTGCAAAGCTCTTATTTTTTGTCTGATATATGGCTCACCAGAAGGATTTCATATGCATTTATAGTTTTATCGTTTAACAGTATTATTGGCTAATTTAACAGTATTATCAGTATTATAGGGCTTTCAAATGGCCGGACTTTTATTACTGTCATAGGTGTAACAGGAATAAAAGTCCGACAGTAATACAAGTCCTACCTTCTCTAATTATGAGCCAGGAACCTAAGTCCCTGTAGGACTACTATTCCCAAGTAATGTTAGTCCTACAGACAACCATTATAATTACCAGGAACCGGTTCCTAGGGGACTTGGATTACTGTTACACCGGTTTATAACAAGCGTTCGTATAGGTCAGCTTTTTAACTGGAATCTTACCGTTGAATTAAATGTCCTCGTGTTGATGTCCACAAGCAGAATACAGCCAGAGCTATCAGGACACTTGAAGTTGACATTTTGTCAAAAACGACAAAAATCTTAGAAAACGACAAAACGCGCAGCTTAGGGAATCCTTCGACGTTCTCCGTACCAAAGTCTTTAATGCGCGTATTTCTTCTTGTAAATTGGGTTTTGAGGCTTTTTAATCAGCGGGCAAGAAGATATCATTCTGTTTGTACTGATTATCATTTGCACAATTATGTATTTTTATCTACTTGGCTTCAGCACATCCAGGGTTTTGTTTGCTGATCAGTAGACGGAAGAAATCCACCCTCTACCAGGGCAGCAGATGAATTACTTTGCACTTTGCACTTACGTGAGTGCACTATAGGAAAGTGCCGTGAATTAGCCAGTGACATATCTGTGAATATCTGGTGAAAAATGAATCTGTGGCGCTGGTAGAGGACATCAAAAATCCAACATCCGAAGGCTTGGGAACGCTGGTCGGTGAGATCAAAAGAGTGTCCCTGTAGCTCGGTTATCTATGTGAACTACAGACTAGGACACTGGTCACTCTATCTAGCCCTGCGGTGTGGTGAAAGCATCTGTTTTTCGTTTAACAAGTCTATATTTGTTTGTGGATCTTACTTTACTTATCTGTGGTGATATTCGCAAGAAATAATATTTCAACTATAACCGTTTGAATGATATATACTGTAGGAGAAAATAAGTGGTACATTGTTCAATAATTTGTATGTATAAAACTTGAAACTATCGTGCCTCTGTAATACATGTACATGTACTTTGATACAAAATTGGAGCAAATATTTTAGGTATCGTTGGTGTTGCCTTAATATAATATAATATAATATAATATAATATAATATAATATAATATAATATAATATAATACGGGAAAACCAGATAGCTGTGATAATTCCACTAGTACATTACAACAAAATACCCTGTTTTTCAAGAAAAAAAAGAGAGCAATGTTTTCATTCCGCCATAGTTCAGCATGGGAGACAGCAGAATATATAGTTTTCACATCTCTTATTGGCTTTTCACATATGACTTAGATTTGGTCTTCTCTTGTGATTTTTTTTCTTTGTGTGTGTGTGTGTGTGTGTGTGTGTGAATTTCCCCGTATTTACTAAGTTTTGAGAAATATTTCACGTTTGATTTTGAATTTTCTTGACAAGGACCCAGTGCGACTAGTGTCACAGCTATGCAAACGCACCAATTGCTGAGATTTTTTTCAGGGACCTTAATGGGTCAGATGAGGACACAGGTCTGTAGTCCACGAGGAGGTGTGGACACGGTCACTCGTTTCCTCCGACATTAAGTGGACCAAGAAGTTATGAAGAGAAGGCCTTCTCTTTATAACTTCTTGAGTGGACACAGCAAACGCGCTGGTTGCACAATAATCAGGATTTATTCTAACCTTAAAGCCGTATATATATATTTTTTTTTTCGCAGGGATTTGTGCTTTTATTCATTCCCTCGACTCATTTATTGATTTAAAGCCTGAGCGTATTATTCGTTTCGGATATGGGTTCATAGAAGTTGTGCATTCATTTGCAAGTGCTACATGTAATAGTACATGTAATATGTACGTTTTTATCGTTAGAAATCAACACATTATCTTATTACAAACATACGGGAAGGACACACTACATAACTAGGTATTAATGTTATGCTCAATGACCTAGAAACAAGACCCGTGCGTTCTTGTCCTCGCATTCCCCGGGGGTCAGTTTTACAGAACTTACTCGGACGCTGGTCTTCACTTTAAGGCTCTGTTCTCACAACTTTTAGATCGATCTATCACCGCGGGGAGTCTCACTAGATTACTGTCAGATAATCCCCCTTAAGTGTCCGTCCCCGCCTACTACAAGCTTTAAGGGGTAATTAACTTTCGTGTCCGCCCGGCTGACAGCTATTTAGCGTGAACCCCCAGGGAGTTAGGTCGATCCAATGTAGGTCGATCTAATCTATGAGAATGGGGTGTAAGATTAACTGCTTGATTTCCTTCATTCCACTGTGCTACAGAAGATTATCTGTGCCAAACATGGAGTAGTTCAGTTTACGTAAGATATCAGTTCACGCGGAACAACACAGGTTCATCTGGGATTACACACCTATTCCGTGATTATTCCTTAGTGTGTTTTTTTTTAAACTTTATGACGTTTGTGTTTGTCAGTGTGGTTTAAATTTTCTATTGATCTTAACTACGCGTTCTTTTCCCACCCACCCACATAACCCACATAACCCACAGCGGCGTCAGCATTTGAAGTAATATGTCACGGCAATAACCACCGTCTGTAAACGCAATCAAGTCACATTTTTTTCGAGAAGTATCGCTTTAACTTCTGCCTACAAACACTGTGGCTCATAAGTTTCGGGGGAGGGGGTCGAGGAAACACTAACTTCACTTCGTGAATATAAACCTGTAGACGAGGGCATCTTCAATCTAGTACGTGGGGAGATGACTTGATGTGATCTCGTTTTGCTGGCTATAGTTTTCTCAGGTTGGGTGCTAGAAGGAAAACGGGACACCCCATAGCTGGGGGGTGTACGTGCCTTCTGTCTCTCCCTTCCCCCTGCTGCTCCCCCTCCCCGTGGCCTCATCCCCGCACATCTGCCGCTGGCTAGGGGCTTGGCAGCATTCGTCCGTGAAGGGGTACATCATTCTGATGATAAAAATATGTCCCAAGAATGATTTTATTCTATTGTAAATTGAGTCTGTTTGTAAATTTTGCTGAATTAATTGCAGGGGCGGATTTAGGCCGTCTTTTGGGTCTTCTGGAAGACGGTCAGATTTTCAGGTTTACATTGTCAGCCATCTAATGTTTTCTGTCGGAAGACGGTCAAAAATGGAAGATGGATCAACAAAGATAATTTGGAAGACTGTCAGAAAATATCTCTGGATCCGCCCCTGAATTGCTTAATTTGCGCGGTTCCGGTGCAACGAAACAGAGGATATAGGTATGGGAATGGGGTCTTACACTTTAAACAGTGCTCCCGCAAGTGGCCCACGTGCTCGACAAAAACAAAACGCTGAACTACACGTATATAAATGTAAAGAATGGGCCTCCGCTTCATCATTTCATTTCCGTCGCCCCCCCCCCCCATCCTGAATCCTCCATCGTGGGTGCTTATTTACTGTACGCTTGCAAGATGAGACGACTGTATGATGAATAAATGATAAGAAATAACTTCCATGTAAACAGAGTGTGCTCTTGATTCAGACATGCTTAATTCAAATCAATACCTTTAATGTTGTCATTTTGTATTTCGGTTTAAATGGATTATGTGCAAAACAAGAACGGCATATTGCAATTGTGTATGTTCATTTATAATGGCTAAAACTGTAACCCGAACAGCTCCAGCATGCATCAAGCGTGGTAGGCAAAAGATAGATACATTAATACGGTACTGTAATAGCTAGAAGAGCTTGACTAGATAGAAGTTAACAGCGCTCTCAGGGTAAGCTTTTCTTCCTGGACGTTCTTGTCGCTGTTGCTGTTGTTATAATTATTTCACTAGTCTGCTAATTGAGGCTAGAGACGCAGCTCACAACTGTGAACAAAATTAAAATAATCCGTACGCAGATAGCATTATTATTGATTGAATTATAAATTCTTTATTACCGTCAATCTATTTACGACTGAGAGCCCAGCCAGTAGCACTCAAATATTACAGTTTTGTTATGAGACTATGAGACAAAGCGGCAAACCTGGACATTTACTGAGGCAGCGTCAAAGACAAGGAAGGTAAGGCACTACACGTTAATTGCGATCGAACAAATGAAAAATTTCGAATGGTAAATAACTGTAAGATCGGATCCAATCAGCCACGTGTAAAAATAAATATTTTCGGCCCTAAACAGCGCCTACGAGAACACTCAGTCTTTTACGTGCTTAAAAAAGGTAGCAAATAAACATTTGTATAAACCCCTCCATATAAATATATAAATTGATAAATAAACAGTCGTTTTTCAATAAGATAGGCGACAAAGCTGTTTGATTTGAGGAGGACGTTTTTAAACCTTGCCTTTACCGCGTGCCAAGTGATCCGTAGATAAGGAAGAACAGAACTTCCTAGAAGGTTGCGAAGTGCTGAGGTATTACGCGGGTACAATCGGCACACCTCCTTGTGTTGGTTTATTCACGTCATTTCAGCACTTAAAGGTGCTCAATCGACACAGGACAGAAACGACAGTAGGGGAGAGCATGAACAAATCACAGTGAATGTGTGAATGCCATTTTATTTTGCATCAATGTTTCTGGTTTCCAATTATTGACTTCGTGTCGTTCTGGCGGGGTATTTTGCACTTGCAAAAAAATTCGTTTACACAACTTGCATGCTTCGATCATTTTGTAAAACATGAATGAAAATGACATTGGATGTGGGTGTGGTATGTGAAAAATGGACACATTCACATGTTATAGATTCTAGACAGTGGACATGAATTCGTATAGAAAGACGGTATAATTAACTGGGTCTGCCGCTAGGAGTGGTGTATTGCGCAAGACAAGCCTATGCCGCACCCTGATCTGTCCCGAGCTATGAGGGCACGTGTCAGTGTGTCAATAAAAAACAGGTGCCACCAAGATTTATTTGTTCATGTAAAAGGTAAAAGGAAAAAAAGCAGAAAGCAAATATGCGGGGCAAACAACGTGAAGTGTGCCTTGGGATAATGTGTACTGGGCACGTGCTGGGGAGTTGGTGGGGGGGGGGAGAGGAGGGGGGCGTCAGCCTATTTGTCAAGCAGATTATATATCTTAAACCACCTCTGTAGTTAGATGGCTGTTAGTTCTGGCTGAGCGTCTAGTTCTGCTTGGAAGGGGGAATAACAACTGGTACAGGTTGTAACAAGATTAGAGTAAGATTATACGTATTTACATAGGCAATGACCACAAGATTACAGAAAGGCTATCTATATTGATTTAGGCAATGATCAGACAGAGGTTTACTATCTTGATAAATCCACAGAATGATATATAGGCCTATCTTGATATATATATATACACTAAGCAAATCAAGCAGAAAGCGCCCCAAGACGTCTTGTCTTACATAACTTAAATTAAAGGGCAACACCATAGGGTTTTCCCGCAAAATGGCTTTTCCCGTTAAAATAAGTAAATATCCGCGTCCTCACGATTCATTCACCTATCCTTCTCTGCACTTGGATTCGACTCTTAATTGAATTTATGAAAATTAATTTAATTTAAAATGATTAGCCAGTCATAAAAGCCAGCAACCATCATCCTACATGCTCCCATATAAATATCAACATCAGGGGCACCCCAAAAATAATTGAAGGGGTTAAATCGTTTTTAAGTTGTATGTTATGTTATATAAGAAGCATTTGGGGGATTTTCAAACCCACAGTGTACCTTAAAATTATTGACAATTATCTTCTATATTGATTTATCCATTTCTTATTTCTTTAAATCTTATGTAAACAAACAGTAGCATGAGAAGCAGACATACCATGTTAACGTGTAACATTATATGCTGAATAAATGATTTCCATGATTAAATCTGGCGATCTCAAATGGAATAGAGGAAGTACTGCATGTATTGTTCTCGGAAAGCAAGCGCAAAATCGTTAATAGCATTCGTTGATGAATAAAACATGTAGCAAAATGTGTTTTTCTCTGAGATCCCTTTCCCATACTTAGATCGATCTAGCGGGATCAACCCATCTCGGAGGGGTTTCTCACTAAATTGCATTTAGCTTAAGCGGCTCTGATGTACTACTGAAGCTGTTAGGGGGTAATTCACTATTGTTTAGCAGATTCAGTAGGCGTGCCAGACATCTAAGCCACTAAATCTGAGTGCAATATAGCAAGAAACCCATCGCATATGGGTCGATCCTGCTCGATCGATCTAGGTATGGGAACGACGTCTTAGTGGTAAATTAAAGCGCTCCAGCTAGTCCTTGAAGCGACACGGGTTCTAGTGCCTTTTAAGACCCAACAGACTACCACAATTATCAAATTACACAAAATCCTACGTAATGGTGAACACTAACGCGTTCATTTGGCGAGTACGTGAAGGAAATCCACATTTTGAAAGGCTAAAAAGAATACAATTCACTATGCAGTGCGTTTCTTTGTCCTCAGCAAACTTGACGTCCAGTGAAACCTGAAGCGGTAAAAGACGTTTTCTAAACCAGAACTAATAAGGAAGCTTGGCCATTTCCTGACGGTTCACTGGCTTAACGAAATCAAACACACCTGTATGCAAATGAGTGTACAGAATAAGAATAAGGTTGACGAAATTCACTAACAAACCCGGCCATTGTTGCCTTACATGTATCAGGACGTGAAGTTTTATATACCCTGCGTAGAAGGTAAGTTTTCAGTGTCCCCTGAAACTCGGTGGCTGTTGTTTGAGTGATATTATTTTAAACACTTTTCTCCCATAAATGTCCTCAATCACCTATTAGGGTGCGGCTATAGCCACTCCCCTGAAATGAGTTTTTATGCCAATTCACCTTCTTTTGTTCGTGACCGTTAACATCTGTCAATACAACGAGGTGTATGTATATATAAGAGCAATGAAGTTAAAGAAAACTCGTCAACAGAACCGATCTGGTCCATCATATCAGACCCGAGGCGCGTGTAGTGCGGGAAAAAATCAGGTAAGTCCGGCGGCCACATGTAAGCACGTGTAAGCACGTGTAAGTTGCCCCCCTACGAACACATATTGGAGAATGTTTATAAGTCACAATGCCAGGTGATCATGTCAGGACAGAGGTAAGTTAGGTGGCACATAGATAAATAAATAAATAAATAAATAAATAAATAAATAAAGTGCAAACAAGAAAAGAACCTACTTCGTGCCATGAGTTGTCATTAGCCATTCACAAACAGTTAATCCGCGGACTAACTAGTTCACGGATAAAACATGGAGGGCACTTGACAATGGACCCCCTCCTCTCAGCTACGTCCAAGCAGGCACAAAGCAATTGAATTTCTGCACGCTGAAAAGTGGGGCGCGCCATATTTCATCCGCGGAATAGTTAGTCCGCGGATCAATGGGTTGTGAACACTGCCTTAGTCCCTGGCACGTGGGTTTTCAGTTTTTATATTCTACTTTAACAAATTTCTACCCCTGACATGTGTACTGTCCTAAAAGTTTAATAACCACTTTGAGGTATGCATTCATTATGAGCGCATTCTCAACGAATTAAGCCAGGCTTTACAAAGCCGGTGACCTAAAAATGGCGGACGTACATGAAAGAAAAACCGCCTAATCTTTTAATAGTCTCTCCGCCTCTCACACGCCTCCCCACCTGTCGTCCCTGCGGGGTACAGTAATTAAATCTCGGCTCCGAACATTAATATTTCCGTGAATATCTCTGGTGATATTATCTCCGTAGATAGTCGATTCATTGCTGCTCTACGGGCCAAATTATTCCTTTTTCGTCTCTGTTTTCAAAGATAATAGAACAGAAGAGCTTTTTTCCTTCGATCGCCTTCAGCCGCCATGCTTTCTTCACCACGAGTTTAACTGATGAGCATGCGCACTTAATATTTCTCAGGTAGCTTCCGCATGGCGAACGGAGACGCGATTTAATTAC